CTAAATAAACTAATATTTGGTTTTGTTTTCTACTGAAGTGACACAAAAAAAAAGATCTCAAGCCTCAGTTAATACCTTGAAAACAGTTGTGGGATTGGTTTTACTTATCTTTATATCTATGGTAAACCTTCCCTGACATGAAAAATAATTATAGTCAGGGTGTAATTGTACACATAAATCACAGTTAGGTATGTACCGTGGTTTTGGAATTTGGTAAAACAACAAAACAAAACAAATGCCAAATACTTAGAAAAGAGTATTCAGTTTACTTCATTGCGTGTTGACAGCCAGACATAAATACAAATTGATTTAAATGTTAGATGCAAAAATAAAGACCATACAATACTAGCGTGGGGCCAACTACAAAGTTTATTTTCTCTGCAAATGGCCCCGAATCAGGAACTATGACCTGGCCACGCCCACTTCAAAACATTACTCCAGTGGGGTAAACTTCCCTGCCAACGAGACCAGATTCTCACATAGACTTCCTGCCAGCTGATGAGAAAAATATCTATGTGTGGTCAGTGTAACTGGGGCATCTATTAACTAAATGTATCAAAGAGAGCATATTCTAATTGAGTAAACCATGACATGTCACTCAAACCAGATAGTACCTCGACTAAATCACAGTTTATTCATAAAAAATAGATGATTAGGCAAAATAAGCAGTAATCAAAATATATTCTAGTAATCCTAGAAATAAAACAGTATATCTGATGGATTAACAATCAGTGGTAAACAGAATAAATTTCCTTCATAGTTTTTGTTTTCAGACAACAACTCTTCTAAAAGCAGAAACAGAAAAACAAACCATCACTGCTAAAAGGGAAGCTCTAAGGCAACAGGTTACATACAAGGTAGGATTTCTCAACTTGTAATTTCACTACAAAATAAAACATAAAAAAGTCATTGTATTGTCTTACCCAACAATTTAAATTGTAAACAGTGTCTTAAAGGCCGTGGTTGAAGAAATATTCCAAAACTGAAAGGGATCTCTAATTTTTTCAACAAAACAGTCTGAAAATTTGTTTTAAATAACTTTGCCTTGACTAAATGTAAAACAAGCAGGACAGAACTGAGCGTCATTTTCCAATGTAAAAAACAAACAAAAAAAATAAAAAGTTAAATCATACACGTGAAGTCTGAACATGGCTTTTATCACCTGAAGCATTTCAAAGTACATGCTTTTTGACCATTTTGGCTTTCCATATATCCACCATGTGCTGTTGCAGATCCACAAGAATAAGTTCCCATTTCCATACAGCTAAATTAAAACAAATAGCAGGTCTTCAAGCACTTAATGTCATTCATCCATCATTATTTTATACATTACTTTGCATGTGTTTATATATACTTTGACATTTATAGCATCTAATGAATAACTGTATGGAAGCGTTTAAGTAACAAAACCCTAATTAAAATGGAWTAATAGAAATGCTGTTTCATTTTCAACATATACCTGAATTTTTTTTAGCAGTACATATTTTGAAAAATAAATGTCAAAGTATATATAAACACATGCAAAGT